AGCTGACTTCATTTTGCTGACCTCTATCCACATTTTTTCGGTCTCCTGGACTACCAGGAGCATAGTTTCAGGAGTGGGAGCTAACTTCGCTCACATCGGAGTAGTTAATGCCCAGTGTTTACATTCAACCTTCCCTCCTCCTCTTACATTTGTACACGTCTTTTTCTGATATCTATTCCGAAGAAGCCGAATTATGAGGTTTTCCAGGGAGCTATGCATCTTCGTGGCAAACCCGCCCACTTTGGTGCATGCTTAGCCCACCAATAGCATTTAACCCCTTCCCTCCGCCAACCCTTATCCACTTTTTTCCCGGACGCCGGGACTCTAGGAACCGAGTTATGAGCCTGGTTGCAAACTCCGCCCACTTTGATGTAAGCCACGCCCAGCCTTGACATTTAGCTTCCCCTCCCCTCCTGACCTCTATCCGTTTTCCGGTCTCTAAGTCATCTCGGAGCCGATTTTGTCCGGTTTCTAAGTCATCTCGGAGCCGATTTATGAGCTCTTGTAGAAAACGCTGTCTACTTCACGACACGCTCCGCCCATTGTGGGCGGGCCTCCGTTCACATCATGCGTGCTGGAAATACCTTAGGCATTGCTCCCTGCACTAATTTTTTTCTGCTCTGTAGGCTTCCTCCTAACCGAGTTATGAATATTTTCACTGAGCACCGCTTTTTTAGAGAACGCCCCGCCCACCGAGGGTGGGTCTCCTCAATTCGATCTGGCTTACCAACGCACACCTATACCCACTTTTGTCCCGGTCAGGCTGTTTTGTGACTGAATTTGAAATCATGGTCCTCAGTACCACTCATTTCGACGCACGCCACGCCCACTGTGGGCGGGGCTCCGCTTAGCTGATGTATGTTTTTTACTTCTCGAGATATGGTACACCCATCCCAAACTTGACCTGGACCCTGTAGGTTGTTGTTCGCTTAATACCGAATTTCGTGACAGACAGGACAGACAGACATAGCGCATTATATATAGTAGGAATTCTGCATGTTTTCAGTGTCTTTCCACCCATCCGTGAGATGGGCGCGATAGCATGCGGTGCTGCACTGATACACGTGAATGCCGAATCCCAGTAGCAGGATGCATCCCAGAAAGAATGGCCAATACCCAATGCTGATCCTTCTCCATCCTTTGGCTACGCTCTAGCTTGTTGAATAGCTGAACCATTTTGCACTTTTTTGCACCATTCATGTGAACTGGGATCACCACCCTAGAATGCATGGATCCTCTGATGGAGCATCACTGCATCACGTCGAACTCTTTTATCGATTATTACCTTCATTTTTCCCTGATTGCAGTTCTAAACTGTGCACTAGCCATTCGTACACTACTCTCCATTAGTCTTCACTTTCATACTCAAGTTTTTAATCACCTAGTTTTCCGCAACTCATCGAAGGCACAAAATTCTGGACATTTTCGAAGTTTCAAATTCTGTATGTCGTAACTGGTATTCATTCATATCAACTCGCGGTGATGTAGTGCACTTCTCCTTGGGTTTCTATTAGACCCATCAATCCAATCCGTTCCAGCTTCGTTTCGTCTTTAGTTCCTTATTAGTCGTTGCGGCTTGCATGCAAATACCCTTAGCCGCGTTTGAATACTCGCAACTCTCATCAGTGCAAAGGCAGAAATTCATTCAGAGATGTGTGGAAAGGGTAATCTGTTCCTCAATCCTGGTTAGAGGCCGCGCCTCTTTCTCTCTGCGGAGCAGATGCAATTTGTCATCTATGGTTTATCTGATGAGCTGTTAAGTTGATCAATTAGCGGTCTTGTCAGTTCTGCACAACAGCCCTTCTCTTACTATTTGAAGGAATATTGTGCCCATGTAAGCGACGATGGGCGGAGCAAGGTGAAACAATTGACCTATTACCACTCTTAGAAGCACTGGTCACTTTCACACCGCTGCAGGCTCGAGCAGCCTAACTCATGAAAGAATATGCAACCTCGGCCATCTTAAGGCACGGCCATGTTCCCAACTGCCATCAATTGTCTTCAAGGATGCATAAATATGTGTGCCGGGATCTCGACCACCCACCTGGTATTTTCTAGCGCTGAGTCTTCGTAACACTGTGCTGTTATGAGGAGAGTACGTTAGGACTTAGAAGGCGGCACCACAGAGAATCAGAATCAAAGCTCACAGGCATAACGCCGGAAAGGAAGATGATTCCTATTCTTCTCCGCGGTCCTGAGCCATTTTGATCACTCTGTATTCATCCCACTATACGGTTCCATTCCCTGCTTATCTTGTCTTTATACCAGTTAAGCGGGTTTTTTTTGCTCGAGAATCCGCTCTAGAGGCGAGGCATTCCTGATTTAATCGCTGGTTGCTAACTTTTTTATGGTTCATACTTAGCATCGTTTGTCACTGATAGGAGCGAATTTCCTCGGACGTCGGCCGTTGGCCACGATCTCAGCTTGACCATTCCTACTGTAATAGTCTTGAACAATTCGCTTTTTTAAGGTTACGGTGCTACTTGGCCATAACGGAGCTGGTAAAACTACTACGTATTCCAAGGAAAAATGGTGTATGATGCTCGACAACTATACGTTCGGGTAAGTTTACGGCGTCTATTATTATATTGCAAACAGATCCTTAAGTGCTAGGGGTTATCGCTAGAGATTGTCGAACATTCCCTGTTAGTACAATTCAGAAAAAACGCTCTCTATATCGCTATCCAGTTTGTCAATGACATACGAACATTTTTAAGAAGTGAAAGAGCGTTGCCGGTGGGTATCGATACTCCAAAGCTTCCGGAACGGTCAAAGCTCAGAGGCCAAAATAGTTTGATCAATTGTCACTCTCTTGGCAGAACATGCACACGTTTGAAGCAACAACCGCAGATCAAATTGGTGGAGCTAACTGGAATCTAACATCACACCGACGGGCTGCTGATGTTAGATCAATTGCAGCCCTGACGCTGCAAATAAGGTTTAGATGTACCACGTCTTTCCGGGGAGGCTCGACGTGCTGCCTTCGGAATTCGTAATGGTCAGAGGCTAAGGCAAAAACATGTTTTAGTTCTATTTTACATAGTTCGAGATTAGCTGTTAGTGACATTTGATTAACAATTGAGGAAACTTTTTGAGTCACGATACTGTTTGCAGCGCAATTTTCGAAATCGGCGTGGTAGGACATAGGGGCGTGTCGCTCGGCTATCATAGTCGTGGAGGGATGCCGTATTGCGCCTGAAATCTTCGTTCTTCAGGGGCCCAGCAGTTCTTCAGTGCTTGTGCTGATGTTTATCCTGGATATTATAAACATCATATGTACAAACTCAAACCTTTTTCGTGGTCTCTGGTTTTTGGTCGCCGGCTTATAGGCCTGTCGAGGAAAAGATCGTGGAATCATCTTATAAATATGTGACCAGCGAATTCCGCATCGTCTCTGAATACACTCTACACAGCTAAAACAAAATGAAAAGCTGGTGCTCATGGCCTCTGAGCATTCGAAAAAAGGGCCTATTTTAGGTCACATAGCGACCTAGTCCCGGAGAGGGCAAAGAAATCGCACATATTTTCCCACAGAGCCCGCTCCCTTCTTTGGGACTCGAGTGTTGTAAGTGCCTCACTTGAATATCTCCCCCTCCTTCCACGCACCAGCGCCAATAAGTGTTATAGCATAGTGAAAGAGACCTACTCTGCTCGAAAGGTATGGGATGTGGAAGACGCAACAGAAAAGAAAAGACCAAGGAAATGTATCGCAGCAGTTATTAAATTAATCGTTTGGAAATAAAAAAATTCAGAAACCAGACGAGGAATCCACTGGCTATTATGTGGCGTGGTGGGCTCGAATCTCTAAACAGGGTTACGGTAGCCCGTCGGTTGGGTATTGATGTCATATTCTCGCATGGATTAATGGCGACTGATAATGACGGCGTGAAAAGAATGTGCCTAAACGATTTTTCGGAGGCTGAGGCTACCATATCTATCAACTTATAGGATATCTCATCCGCTAAGCCGTAATTCACGTTCCATGTGAGCGAGCGCGAGCTATCTCATCCGCAAGTTCATATTAGCCGACGTTACTTTATAAGGCTTTAGTTGTACTGTTGCACCCTTTTGAGCCGTAACGGCGGCACACGTGTAATACTTGCGAGCTACTCTATCCCTCCACCAGAATAGATTAGACAAGACGTTACCTGAGGTCGTTGCTTGAAGCAATTGCTCTAAAATCAAGGAGAAAAGAAAGTGTGAGGTTTTATCAGTTTTCCTAGCAGTATTTTTTAATCCTTAGTACTATTTTTTGACAGGCTCTATAACAATACTCGGCCAAAATCTACAAGAGAATTTGTCTGTATGTCGCTCAAACATGGGTTTCTGTCCACAACATAATTGTCTCTTCGACCACCTCACTGTCGTAGAACATTTTTGGTTTTTCTACACGTTGAAAGAGGGTGGTGGTGACTGGGAGCAAGATTCTAATAAGCTTTGCCTCTCTCTTGGCATGGAGAATTTCAAGACAAAGGTTTGTGGTACACTCATTAGGATCCATGTCCATAAGTCTTGTAACAAATTACATTCAATGCTATATAATTTTTGTGAGAACTCCGAAAATTCCGCAACATGTTTGTTGACGTAGCATCCACCTTTGCAATTTCAGCCAACCGTCCAGCTCGTTGTCTCGCTACTTGTTATGGATATTACACCAATTTCGCAGTTCTTCGTGCCCTGAATTTTACGAGTACTGCTTGGAATGTTCCGCAAGTCGTGCTACACCAAGGATTAGCCAGAAGATGGGCGAGGGCACGCTCTCTCCGCGGCGTGCAGGCGCTTCACTCTGCTCAGCGTTGACTTTTTTATTTGAAGATGATCCACACTCCAACCACCCCGTGACTGGCAATCACGATGCTCTACCTGACGCTGTTGAAAAGGGATCTGGATAGACTATCGATCATTTGCCAGAGCAATTCTGATGCGACAAGGAGACAGCACTGAGGCATCTCCAAAGACTTGTAAAGATCCGGAAATATAGAGTTTGGATCCCACATGCCTTGAGCCCGAATCAGCTCCAAACACGATCTGACATCGTCATGTTCAAGTCGACTTACTATGAATTCTTCGATTGACCATCCATCATATTTGCCGAAGATGAGGAGTATCCTGGTATCCTTCATTTTTCCCTGATTGCAGTTCTAAACTGTGCACTAGCCATTCGTACACTACTCTCCATTAGTCTTCACTTTCATACTCAAGTTTTTAATCACCTAGTTTTCCGCAACTCATCGAAGGCACAAAATTCTGGACATTTTCGAAGTTTCAAATTCTGTATGTCGTAACTGGTATTCATTCATATCAACTCGCGGTGATGTAGTGCACTTCTCCTTGGGTTTCTATTAGACCCATCAATCCAATCCGTTCCAGCTTCGTTTCGTCTTTAGTTCCTTATTAGTCGTTGCGGCTTGCATGCAAATACCCTTAGCCGCGTTTGAATACTCGCAACTCTCATCAGTGCAAAGGCAGAAATTCATTCAGAGATGTGTGGAAAGGGTAATCTGTTTCTCAATCCTTGAGCCCGCCCTTTCTCTACGGAGATGCAATTTTGTCACCAAATGTGGCTGATAGGTTTAAGTTGATCATAGCGTTTTTCAGTCTCCCACCAACACCCTTCTCACTTTGAAGGAATATTCCATGGTAAGGACGAAGGCCGAAGAAGGTTAAACATACCTACTCGACTAGAAGGGGCACTTTCACACGCTGCGGGCCGACACGCACTCATTGAAAGATATGCCACCGACGATCTAGCACGGCCTTCCCAACTGCCCAATTGGCTTAATGCTAATGGCCTGATTCGCCACCCTCTCGTTTTTCCTAGTGCCTGAGTCTCCAACTGTGCTGTAGAGAGAGTGTTAGCCTTAGAAAGCGCACCACCAAGAGATCAGAATCAAAGCTCAAGTGAACGGGCAAGGAGAGATTCCATTTCTTGGGTCCTAGGCCATTTTATCACTCGTTTCATCCATGGTTCATCCCTCTAACTTCTTTTCCAATAGGCTGCTTTTTCATCGTAGAATCCGCTCTAGAGTCGAAGGCTATTCCTGATCTATCGCTGTTGCTAACTTTTTCTCATGGTTCATATTGGATGTTGTCACTGATAGGAGCGAATTTCCTCGGACGTCGGCCGTTGGCCACAATCTCAGCTTGACCATTCCTACTGTAATAGTCTCGAACAATTCGCTTTTTCAAGGTTACGGTGCTACTTGGCCATAACGGAGCTGGTAAAACTACTACGTATTCCATGATTTGTGGCTCGACAACTATTACGTCGGGTAAGTTACGTCTATTTATTATATTGCACACATATCTTGTGCTAGAGGGTATGGGTCAGAGTATGACATCCTAGCGCATCCATTTGTCAATCTACGACATTTTTGAATGAAAGCGTTGCATGTGGGGTATCATCAAAAGCTCGGAACGTCAAAGCTCAGAAGCAAAATTTTATTAATTGTCACGAGAACATGCACACATTTGAAGCAACAACCGCAGATCAAATTGGTGGAGCTAACTGGAATCTAACATCACACCGACGGGCTGCTGATGTTAGATCAATTGCAGCCCTGACGCTGCAAATAAGGTTCAGATGTACCACATCTTTCCCCCTGAGCTCGACGTTGCTGCTTCGGAATTCGTAATGGGCAAAAACAGTTTCTTCTATTATGTCGAGATTAGTTGTTAGTGAAATTGATACAATTAGGACTTTTGGTCACATCGTGCACAATTCGAAATCGTTGATGACAGCTCCCATAAAATTCTTTGCGCTAATGTCCCAGTTTTCCTCTCAGGCAGTTCTTCAGTGCTTGTGCTGATGTTTATCCTGGATATTATAAACATCATATGTACAAACTCAAACCTTTTTCGTGGTTCTGGTTTTTGGTCGCGGCTTATAGGCCTGTCGAGGAAAAGATCGTGGAATCATCTTATAAATATGTGACCAGCGAATTCCGCATCGTCTCTGAATACACTCTACACATCGCTAAAACAAAATGAAAAGCTGGTGCTCATGGCCTCTGAGCATTCGAAAAAAGGGCCTATTTTAGGTCACATAGCGACCTAGTCCCGGAGAGGGCAAAGAAATCGCACATATTTTCCCACAGAGCCCGCTCCCTTCTTTGGGACTCGAGTGTTGTAAGTGCCTCACTTGAATATCTCCCCCTCCTTCCACGCACCAGCGCCAATAAGTGTTATAGCATAGTGAAAGAGACCTACTCTGCTCGAAAGGTATGGGATGTGGAAGACGCAACAGAAAAGAAAAGACCAAGGAAATGTATCGCAGCAGTTATTAAATTAATCGTTTGGAAATAAAAAAATTCAGAAACCAGACGAGGAATCCACTGGCTATTATGTGGCGTGGTGGGCTCGAATCTCTAAACAGGGTTACGGTAGCCCGTCGGTTGGGTATTGATGTCATATTCTCGCATGGATTAATGGTCGACTGATAATGACGGCGTGAAAAGAATGTGCCTAAACGATTTTTCGGGAGGCTGAGGCTACCAGGTATCTATCAACTTATAGGATATCTCATCCGCTAAGCCGTAATTCACGTTCCATGTGAGCGAGCGCGAGCTATCTCATCCGCAAGTTCATATTAGCCGACGTTACTTTATAAGGGCTTTAGTTGTACTGTTGCACCCTTTTGAGCCGTAACGGCGGCACACGTGTAATACTTGCGAGCTACTCTATCCCCCGCCAGCCAGAATAGATTAGACAAGACGTTACCTGAGGTCGTTGCTTGAAGCAATTGCTCTAAAATCAAGGAGAAAAGAAAGTGTGAGGTTTTATCAGTTTTCCTATCAGTATTTTTTAATCCTTAGTACTATTTTTTGACAGGCTCTATAACAATACTCGGCCAAAATCTACAAGAGAATTTGTCTGTATGTCGCTCAAACATGGGTTTCTGTCCACAACATAATTGTCTCTTCGACCACCTCACTGTCGTAGAACATTTTTGGTTTTTCTACACGTTGAAAGAGGGTGGTGGTGACTGGGAGCAAGATTCTAACAAGCTTTGCCTCTCTCTTGGCATGGAGAATTTCAAGACAAAGGTTTGTGGTACACTCATTAGGATCCATGTCCATAAGTCTTGTAACAAATTACATTCAATGCTAGTATACATTTTCTGGAGAAACTCTGAGAATTCGGCAGACGTTCGTTGAAGTAGCATCGCAAGTTTTCACATGTCCAGCAAACCGGTCCGATACGCGCTGTCCTCGCTAGTTTTTATGGACACTAGGACACAGGTTCGCTAGCTCTTTTGTGGTCCTGCGAATTTTACAATAGGCGAGTTGATTGTTCAACCAACGTCGTGCTACCCAAGCGCCTTAGCCGAGGCAGGATGGCAAGGGCCGACCGCTTTCCTCTCCCGCTGGCGTGCAGGGCGTCTTCACTATGTGCGTGGCGGTCACGTTGGTACGAAGATGTATCTCAACCTCGACCCAACACGCTGACTGGCAATCGGACACGAACCTGCTGCTACCCCTGACGCTGGTTGAGCAAAGGATTTCGATGACTGCGGAACGTTTGCCCAGGCAATCTGGTGCGACCGTGTGACAGCACTGCGCGTATCTCTGTAAGGACTGTACAGCGCGCGTAGGAATATAGAGTCTAGGATCCCACATCCCCGAGCCCAACTCAGTCACAGCTCATTCGTGCATTGAAAGTCGAATCTCATTCTATGAATTGTTGTCGATTTTTGGTATGTCAATCCGTAATTAATTTGTCGCTGATGAGGAGATGTACAGTGGCTCCTGGTGCTAACAAATAAACAAGCGGCGAAGTCCAGTACACTTTGCGTGTTCCTATTACTAAATTTCAACCTCGTCCATGCAGGGCCTTCTCGGATTGTTGTTAGAACACGAGAAGGTTGAAACTTTTGGAAACTCCTACATGTAGACGTTGCAGTCTATTGATATGCAGAAAAAAGTTTGCTTTTTATGACAGCGTTGAATCGTCTCTTCCTGAAAATCCAGGAAAATTTTGGGACTCTCGGACTGAGTCCTTTCGTATCCATCCTATGGCTCTGAACTCGTGCAGAGTATGCCCACCTGCGTCCCTCTCCAGCCCCCCATCTACTGAGAAACAAATCCCATGCTAACCATCATGACGTCAGTGGACTTCTACAAAAATGACAACAATCATCTTTTAGGGTTTTGTTAACAAGGCATCGCACGTTTTGGGTTTTTGCACCGCGTGGGACAAGGGCGCTTTTGCGAGCGCACCGTCACACCTCACACCCGTAAATTTCGAACGATATCTTGGGAAGCTTCAAAGGTACGAAACCATTTCAGCAATATTCAATGCGTAGAAAGTAACCAAAGATATAGTAGCGAAATTGCGGCCAAAAAACGGTGAAATGGTAAAGAAAATTGGGATTTCAAGTCCTTTTCTGTATTGGATGTCAAAACTATTTTCGATGTGGATGTGTTGGGTGTAGCATATATCTTTCTATCCCTTTGAGTTTGTACTTACTTTCACTACCTTTTCGCGGTTACGCGTCTCAACGTCGTCAATGTGTTAATAGATTGTAGATATTGATGGTGTGTACTATGCTCAATGAATGGAACAAAAAGATAGTAAAGGTATTTAAGTCAAAGATCAGCCACTTTGTTACAAGACTTATGGAACAAATTAATTTATTAAACAAATGCAACTCATGCATGAGTGAAAGTGTCTGCATCCTCATTTCGAAATCAGCACAACTCTTCTTTTAAGCTGGCTTCGAAACTTTCTGGAGGGGAAAAACGAAAGCTCTGCTTAGCTATGGCTTTCACAGGAGGTTCCAAGATTCTAATGTTAGATGAGCCAACAGCAGGGATGGATCCACAGGCTAGAAAAACGGTCACCGAATTTATCACAAAGAAAAAGGAGAACCGGTAAAGTTTCACTTTTCCCAAGTTTCGTCTGGAGTGTCATCCCTTCCATGCCTTACCCGCTAGACAATCTCCTCTCCAAAACAGCCAAGGCAGCGTTTACAGTCAACGATCGTACATGCGAATAGTAGATGTAGAAATTTCAGAATCTAAGTCTACCTCAGCTTCTAAAAACACAGGTTTATAGTTTGCGCAGTTCTTCAAGTACAGTAGGCCCTCCCTTCTTCCCCGTGCTCGATCGCCAAACGCCTTCATACATTCGTTAGGCAGCCAATATTAACCTGTAGTGATATCACTTCTTGGTATCTTTGCTATCCTTTGTGAATGAAACACTATTCACTATCTAGGCGCTTTCAATTTGGTGTCTTAAAATGAATAAGAGCCTTTCTTCCACTTTCAGCCTTTCTCGCATTATTTTCATCTTGATGTAGCATCACCCAATTTATTACAAAATTAAAGACATTATCACGAATAGATTTTTTGAAATCCAAATGAATTTTTCGACCTTCAACGTTTATAGCTACACAGATCTCTGGGAGGGGCAGAATAACTTCAAGGCCTTTGTAGGGGGTTACAAAAATTTGGAAAAAAAACCATTGCTGTGGTCTACCTGCCCGCATGTCTCATTCCGGCTCTTGAAGGCAAGCTAAAGGATTTCCGGTCGCAGATGAACTTCGCCCGAGAAAAATTAAGCGATAAGCAAGCAAAAAGCACAGCATATACACATCTTTGGGGATGATTTGACAAGCCGAGGTGGTAAGTCCCAAGGTACGACATAGGCTCCGCCCAATACCACTGAACCCGCCTGAAATTAGAGCTATTTCGCTTAGTTGCTCCTAGAAAGAGAGTTCCATTGTTAGACTTGTTGGCAATTTCTTCCCGTTTTTCCATTGCTGGCGTCACCTTCCACACCTTCATTGTCACTTGCAAGCACAATAGAGCTTAGATTGGTCTCGATTTTGCGCTTAGGTGTGCATCGTGGGCGCTAGTTCCTTGCAGATGCAAGGCTCTAGCCGCTTCCATTTTTCCACAGAATGCCGTGACAGCGCCACGACCTCGAGTAAAGGTGCTCCAAGGCAGCTGGTTAGAGGCAGGGCAAAATACCGGTTCAAACTCCGCGCCATCGGCACAGGACCTTGGTTGCCTGCGCCTTCAAACTGCGCGCGAACCGTAGCCACGTCATTCATCCGCCGTTGTATCATGATCATCATCGTGATCGCTGTTATTCTTATTCCATCTTCACGCGATGACACCAGCTCGCCATATAATAGTTAGTTTGACTTTATCTTATATAACTTTACTAAATATTAGCTTCAGTCGTCTCGCCGGGATAGCCCTTAGTAGTTACCACTCCTTACTTCCTTTTAGATCTTAGTTAGTTCACTATGGGAGTTAGCACCTTAGGTTCCTCCCTGTATTTGATTAGTCTTCTTCTAATAGTATTCATCGTATTGTTCAACTGTAGTACTTCTTCTTTCCTTAATTGCAATAGGATTTACATAGTACAGACTCTTTTCGTGTATTCTTTCTAGTATGTATTTAACAGTATTCTTATGTAGTGTTTATTCAGGCGATATGAAGAAGTGTAATATTTAGGCGTATAACAGTCAAGTCTAACATGGTCTACGCCGCGCACACGCCGCCATCTATCTTCGCCTAGTCGATCCATTCGTGTCATCTTGGATCCTCTTCTTGTTCACTCGGCAGATCGACATCCTTCGCACTACTAGGCAATCGCACGCGCCAGCACGCTTATGCCCTTTGGGCACAGGGAAGCAAGGCCTCTTGTCAACCCGCTGCAGGCATCAAGGACTTCGGTCATCAAGCATTCTTCGTTGCACGCATCTTCCCTTCAGAGGTGTTGTGGGCACCCACCGGAATCCCACGTTTTTGCCGTGTCTCGTCGGATTCGCCGATGCGTCTTACTCCACTGATCCGCCTGGCACGACACAGAATGCTGGTGTCTTCTGCTCTCTCATCCGTTGTGCCCTCTGGCCTCCCCTCTCTACAGCATGCTCAGTTTGTACCTGACTTTGTGCAGAAGTGAACAAGTCCTCAACTATAGCGTTCTCGGCTGAAATCCTCTTTTTTCTTCGCTGCCGGCCTATTTTGCGTCTGCCTTTTTTCGTAAGGACCCCACCTCCTTGTTTGGCATAAAAAAAGTACGATTTCTCCTTCGCTCACTTTAACCAGGTTCGCTCTGCATCGCGTAGATATTCAGCATCACTGTTAGTCGAAACTTCTTTAATACAACACAAATGTGCGAAGAGTAGAGAAAATAAGGTAGAACGTTCTTTTATCTAAAGAAAAGGCAATTGCAGTGCTTAATCGAATGAACAGAGTGTGGTTCTCGGTCTAAAGTTAGGTGCGTCTTGCAAAACTGTCTTTTGACACAGCAGATGGTGGGACTCGCATAGCTAGCTCCTCTACGCTCACCTGTGAGTATGAACTGATGTATTTCAAACAGCCGTCCGACTGGGGCGTTATACTCGCTCACTGCCACGAAGTATTAGATTGTCTCAGAAGTTTGCGTATTTTGAACTTTTCGAGCCTACTATATTTCGAAGCACATGGCAATCTATCATCAATATATGCACCATCACTATCAGTGACTTGTTGCCAACGATCCAACCAAAGAGTGGCGCTTAACTCCCAGAAGGCTGGCAGTTACGAGCTGAAAAAGGCAGTGAGGTCGATTTGAGGTGCCTATGGGAATCGTATTTTTTGTGTGGAAGATGATGCTGAGCAAGAAAGAGTACACGTCCTTTGAATGAGGATTGATCACCACTGCACGATGGATATGCTAGGACGTTTTGGCTAAGTCTTAATATCTAGGGCCGCGCCTTCCTCGAAACGCATCGCCTCGATTGAAGCAGATACACTTTCTCGAGTTTCACGGAAATTTGTTTAAGTTTCGTATTGAGTCTCTGCCGTTGATCACATTAGGCTTGGCTGACTTCATTGCTGTAGTGTGATAGATGTTTCTAGTCAATTAGAGAACGCCCCAAAAAGGGCAGGGCACGATGTTGTGATGAACAAGTACATTTTTCGCTTCTGTTCGATCTAGCCCCCAGGGATTCTGGATGTGATTGCCACAAAAC